TACATAAATTTGAGTATGACAGAATAACTGTGATCTAAAAACTCAATTTTCACAAGACATTAAATTGGGAAAAACACATTTCCCTGTATCTCATTTCTACAGCATTGTGGACTACAGATTGTCTTAACAGCATGCGAACATCTCTCCTCTCTTCCTCTGATGGGCTAGCCATGAGCCATCATTTCTCTATGAAATTCAAGGAATCTTGAAGGAAACTCCAGAAAGATTTTAAGAATCTGTATTTGGCAGGGATAAATATTACACCTGTATTATTCTGTTGGCACAGAGTCAATTTTAAATTCTCTATGTGGTTTACTTTAGATTTTTATCCTGCCAATACCAAAGATGTTTGGTGTTTTGGTAAAAGACAGACTTCAAACTACGTGGTGACTAAGCAAAGTTCTTACATAAAGCTTGAATAAGATTTTATAAATAGTTCCAATGAAAGACACTTGGAAATAAGCAGGAAAAAAGAAACTCATACTTATGAAAAAATTATTTTCAGTATACTACTTCAAGTTTCCAATCAAATCCTATTTAAATATTAAAATAAACATAAAATCTAAAGGAATGATAGTACAAATATCAACTCTCCATGGCAGCTGCTTATTAAAAGAATGTCTGAGGGTATATTCCAATTTCATCCTCTTCAGATTGTGCAGCTCAGATAAATGTTTATTTTACTGAAAATATTTGCAAAATTACAATATAAATACATGAGTATATTAAGATAGGATCACTCTATATAATGTATTCTTATCCACATATATAAAATGAATGCAGTAAATATAGTATACTCTTGATGAATTGTTAGTACACAGTGTTTCTTAGTAAAGTACATACAACCTATTATTAAGCAACAATTATCTACTTTTCAAATGTACATCTTAGGAAGTTTTCAGGATGGAAGGATACACTAAATCCCCTAATACCCTTTTCGGTTGGTGAAAGTTAGTTCTTCTGCAAATTTTGAAATAATGTCATATTTATTTTAGCAATTGTTCTTAGTTTCTTTGCATTTCCTTAATTTGAACGTTATGTCTTTAGTCTGGTTGTTTTTTTAATGATGCCATATCAGCCAATCATACTTTGAATTCTAATACAGTACCAGGTACTGTCTTTTCATTAGTAAGTGAAACATACATCAAAAATGAAACAGAATCATTAAAAGTTTTTTTTGTTTGCACAAATTTCCAAAATTCATTTTCAGGGTATTATGGGGAGTCTCAATTAGATATAATCTCAACTGTAATACTAGTCTGGGTTAGAAAGAGTTTAATTAATTGATTCTAGTCCTTAAGAATACAAATATGAACTCTAAAGTTCTCTGTTAGGTGTCTTGGGATTTACTTCAGAGGCATCTTCTACCCTTCTCCATGACACTGGTTGAATGGAAACTTGTTACTACAGCAGTTCCAACACAAACATATGCATGCAAGAGCTCACCCTACAGATTCTAAACTACACAGCTATTGAAACACGTCCCACCAGTCCAGTGGCATAAATGTACATCTTTTATATACAAAAGGTAAAGTGCATTATTAAATTAGTGAACTGACAGATTGTCTGCCTGGACCATATAGCTTTCAAATAGACAAATGTGAAATTCCCCCATTAGAACCCATTATTTCAAGAGGTTCCAACTAGCTTTTCCACCCTGTCATTTATTTTTTGGCCATGCTCTTTAGTGCAAATAAGCTTGTGTTTGACTCAAGTTTAAGGGACATGGCAGTTTGGGGCTTTAACAAGGAAAATTATAAAGTGTGGCAGAAGTTGAATACTTTTATAATACATTGCATCTCTTGCATACAAGCAACAGATTAGTGCGGCTTTCAACTGGTAGGAGCACACTGCCGACAATGAAGAGGAACCCGTTTCCAGATTTTGTACTACCAGCTTATATGATTACAGTTTTGAGTCTGTACCACATTATGCTTGGATTATTATGTGCAAACATCATCAGTGTTTTAGAATTATATAGTGAAAGAGTAATTTTGGTTACTAACTGAAATGCTCACTTTTTGATTGCTAACATCCAGTTGCCTTAAGAGTTTTATATCTTCAAGGCAGGGATCCTAGTATTTTGAAGAATACCATGTACACTTGCAGCTCCATTTGTGACACAAATGACAATAAATAAAATGTATATTGCACAGATAAGAGTAGTAGCTTATTTTATAAGATACATGGCAATACATGTCCTAATACCAGAGTTTTGGACTGGATCTTACTGGATTATAGCTAATGAATGATTGGAAATTTTAAGTATCAAAAAATCATAGCATCATTTCCTTTTTCAGTGAACATTAACTTTGGAAAAAAAAGAAACTAAAGGACTGGCAAAAGGCTTAATGATTTTAAAGTATATTCAACTGCCGGTATATATGCATCTATGCAATCCATAGCTTTGAGATGGTAAAAACTTTGAAGTATACATACCATGTAGAAAATTTGGCTGCTTAATCCATTTTTAACTTGAATTGTTAATGAAAAATTAAACTAATAATATTTATATACAATGAGCTAAGGATATGTACGTCTGACATAGTAGTGTGTGTGAATATATATATAACACACATATATACATACATATATATGTGTGTGTGTGTATATATATATATATATATATATATATACACATATATATATATAGACACACACTCAAATCTTACCAGACTAAAAACCAAAAAGGAAATCATTTAGACTTAATGGATATAAATATGTTAGAAGAGAAGGTTTTAAGAGAGAGTACACAGTCACAGCAATAGTGATAGGAATGCTCAAATAGTGGAATATTCACAGCTCCAGTTTGCCAAAATCTGACAGGTTAATTATTATTCATAGGCATTATGATGGGCAGCAAAGCAATCAGTAGTATTGTAATGCTAGGGCACACCATTCCTTCCTAGAACCCAAAGCTACTTCTTATCAAGTCTACAATAGTTACTTTACAGTGAGGACTGTTTAAAGATCCTTGCTACTTTTAGTGTCTCAACACCCACCATGTGCTATTAACTCTAGTACTAACATCATCTTCTAACCTTCAGCTGTTCCACAGTGATCCAGATGGTCCACAATTATAATGAACTAGTGAGATTCCTTCACACTGTTTGAGGAAACCGGAAATACAATCCGAAAGCCAACACCAGCATATACGTCTGGGTTACTGACTGCTTGTTTTTAAGTAACATGAATTAGTGAAATTCATTTTCTTAATTCATCTCGTTTAGTGACCTTTTGGGGGACAACCTCTGGAGGGAAAACAACTGTTAAAATAATTGTGAATTACTTATAGCATATAAAAGAAGAGCTACATTCTGATCTCAATCCGAGCAGTCAGCTCTCATCAATGAGAGCTATATTTAGGGGTTGAAATCAGTGTTTGGCTCCTAAACATGATTATATGGACTTATTGTGTGGGAGGTGAGGAAAGCCGAGAGAAAAGACAGTAATTTCATTCAGAATAAAATGCAGCTCAACAGATAAAATTTCAGTCAGTTAATACAGGGTGGGTTGGTACACATATACATTATATCCACTTGTTTAAAAAACTGCTTAGGTGTTGGAAAATTGCAGTGGCACTTCCTGGAAAGTAATTTTTCATACAAGTAAATGGGTGAGTCTTGTGTAAAGTAAACTTTTTTAAGTATCATAAAGAGCACCTTGGAAAATGCCTGAATTTTCTTTTCAAATATGCTTGTAACCAATCTTCAAATAATATTTTTCAGGCTGAAATTTTATGTTTATTCTAAACGCTTTTTAGAAAAGAGAAAACTTTTCCTGGAATTAAAACACCTGTAAAAGTCAGGTTTATACTGGAAGTGTTGAAATGGTCTTAAGGTGCTAAAAGTGCTACTAAAATATATTATTATAGATGTATTTTTATATCAGATAACTGGTGCACCAACCCCTCTGAAATAGTGTTAAAGCAGCAGCAAAAAATATAACACCTTGAGTCTATGATATATTTTGGGAAAGAACCTCTTACAACCTTCAAATTAGTATGAAAAGCTAAAATATCAAGATTTCCATAGCAAAGCCATAGGATGAAGCCTCCCACGCAACAGTGACATAAAAAGTAATTCCTGAAACTTTGGAAAGCCACTAATAATATATGGTACAATCATCAGAGGTGAAGATAGGATTGTAACTAGCTTAGAATAACCAATAAAAACTTATGGCGTTCATACGGCAACTATAAACTATAGGGTTACCACAAGATTTGAAATTATAGCATACTATAGTAACTAAGATTTGATTCTTTAATGGGACTGTTTAATATTCAGTTATCCAACGGACACTGAATATATTTCACCTTGTCCTTTTATAAATAAATAAATATATTTAGAATAGAAGTCAATTTCTGTTTCTGTGGTAACTGTCCTACAGGTAATTCTAGCAGCTTTTAATGAAGTAGGCATGGAATACTTTTTTGGGGGGAACTTAATAATAGAAATTCACACTTCCATATTAGGCATATGTATTTTTTTCAGGCTTATGCCATAGTGCAATGTAAATCTTAGCTAGGGTACTTAGAAGGTCAGAATGTCATACTTTGTGCTGATTTGCATACTTCAATAGTCTGGAGCAGTTGAAGCAGCTAAACTATTTAGCTTTGGGAAGGCAGGAGTTCCCATGAGAATTAGAGTGTTCTACGGGTAACATAACATGAGAATCAGACTCCTTGAAGTATAAACTACTAGAGGTATTACTGATAACAAAGGGCCCCCAAAGAGGAGAAATTTCTTCAAATGAGTATGGATCAGTTCTTTTAGCCAATCTATGATTTTAACTTTTGCCTGATGGAGTTCACTTTCATCTTAGTCGAGGCATGCTTGTTCTTCACCACTGGCCCTTCTGCCATCCATGCTCTTTTCTTTATGGCTGTTGCAAATTTTCCTCATCTCTTCTTCATACTTGATAAAATTCTCCCCAAACCTTGTCCAAGCTTTGAATGGAACGGTAATAGTATTACGGTAAGGTGGCCTCACCTCACTTACCTTCAGGAAAATTCCATATTTATTAGAGCCCACATCAAAGTAGAACCTTTTATTGTCCACTCTGAAAGAAGTCCCCTCGGGGAGTTCCACGGGGTCGTCGTCTCCACCTCTGCGTTCTTCGATGTCCCCTTCGCCATAGTCTTCGATGAGCTGAACCAAGGCATCGCGGAACTCGATCATTCCTTGAGCTGGGAGGACAATATTCTGCTCTTGGCCCAAAGTATGGCCAAAATAACCTATCATGCCAGTCCCCCGCATCATGGTTTGTCTAATCCTTAGGAAGCGACCCCGCTGGTTTTCCTTCAGGTCTAGATAGTATTTCCTGTTGTCCCTCTCGATGTAGTCTGTTTTGAGGACACTGTGGGGGTGCTCTTCGGACCCCACCGAGACCGGCGGGGAGGGCGCTGAGTGCTTCTGTCTCCTCCTGGAGCCCTGCTCTCTGCCGTGACCGTGCTCTTGCCGGTGGCCTTTCAGGCCCAGGTGGGCATAGTGCTCGATGAAGTCCCCTAGACACTCCTTCAGCTCCGCTGCCACCGACAGGGAGAGGGTCAGTTTACTCTTTCTGATATTGTCTTGCCGGCCTCTCCCTATCCAGACTTCGGCTATCTTGAGGAACCGGCCCCGCGAGCTCTGCTTCACGTCTAGGTAAAACCTCTTTTTCTGGATGTCCACTCGTTTGGAGGCCAGCTCCTGGATTTCGGCGGCGCCCCCAGCCTGACTAGGGGTGGCTGAAGCCGCGTAGTGGGGGTAGTGGGAGTGCTGGGCCTGGGGGTACAGTCTACTCTTGCTTAGGCCAGAGACCCCTACATTCTTGCCGCCGCGGCCACGGCCGCCGCCGCCGCCGCCGCCGCCTCCCCTTCGCCTGGCTCTTTCCATCTTCAGCTGCAAGTGACAAACAGACACACGGGGTGGGGTGGGGGAGGGGGTGTTGAGAACAATCGCAGACGCCCCTCGGCCTGCGCTGCCCCAGCCTCTGCCCGGGACCCCCACATCGGGCCGCCGCAGCGCCGGGCTCCCCGCCTCTCCCGGACGGGCTGCGGCGGCCGGGCGAGCGGCCGGGCGAGCGGGCGGCGTCTCCCGGCTCCGCACTGGGCGCTCAGCATCCCTCCGCCGCCCGTGGCCTCCCGCTCCCGCTCTGCGCCGGGCCGCCCGCCTCGGGCTCGGCAGCCCCCGGGTCCCCCCAGTCAGCAGACACTCACATCAGCACTACCATCATCGCCGCCACCGGTGCCCTTCACGACCGCCGCCGCCGCCGCCGCCAGTTCTCGGCCCCTCTGTGGCAGCCGCCGCCCCCTGCCTGCTCCCCCGCCGCCGCCGCCGCCGCCGCCGCTGCTCGCACCGCCCCGCGCCGGAGCAGCCGGGCAGGGGCATCGCCCGCGGCGCCCACCGCCGCCGCCGCCGCCGCCCCTCCAGCGGCCGCTGCGGGGGCCGCCGCCGCTCTCCGGGCACCGGCCCGACGCCCGCCGGGGAGGAGGGGAGGGGGCGGGGAGGGAGGCGGCGGGAGGCGGGCAGTGGACCCCGCCTCCTCCAGCACAGCCCGCTGAAGCGAAGATCGGGTCTCGGGCTCTCCTCTGCGGCCCGCCCTGACGGAAGCCCAGCGCGTGGGACTGGGGCGTGAGCGTGAGGTGACCGGACAGGTGTGAAGATGGAGACGAGGACCCGGCTGAGGCGAGGCTGTTCTGACTTCTCCAGGTACCGCGAAGACGTAGGACTCGGGCGGCCCACCGGCGCCCGCGCGGAGACTACACTTCCCGTAGCGCTTAGCGGCGGCGAGACCCCCTCCGCGCATGCGCGCCGCGTAGCCAGCTGGGCTGGGGTGGGTGGGGCTGCAGCTCGGCGCTCCGAGAGCGGAGTACTCGGGGGCGTGGCGGAGCCCGGAGGGAGGGGTGGGGAAGGTCCGTGTCCCCGGAGTGACACGTATTGTGTGCGCAGCGATTCGCCCGCGTGGGCCCCGCAGCGCGGGAATGAGTTCTGTGGAATCAGTATCAAACTCGGATGTCTGGTTCAAGGCCGTGGTGTTGGGTCGCTGCACAGTCATCCAGCTGATAGACAAGTCGCGTTGAATTGGCTCATCTCAGGGTAACGTGTCCTTCCCCCCAACCTTGCTTCAGGATGTAGGCCTTGGGGTATCTTTCTAGCCTTCTCCGACCTGGAGGTGCTTAGTCCCACAGAGTAGTCTCTGGGCTTTGGGTGGGAGGTTCCTTAGGGATGGACATCTTCGTTCTCCTTTTCCACCTCCCTTTTGTGTAAGGTAACAAATCATGTTGGATTTTTGAATTCAGGATACTCAGTCTTTAATTTTTGTTGTTGTTGTTTGTTTTTTTCCTGGTTAAAATTGAGTTGTTTTCTAGTTATGTGTCAGTGTGTAAATATTCTCCCTACAGAAGAGGATATTAACATCCTTAAGATGCTAATTTAGTAGTGTTTTAAGAGTACTTGGCATGTTAATTTTTAGGGAGTTGAAGTCTATGGCTCGGGCAGTTAGATTTTCATGCTATTAAACAGTGATCTCCCTTTGTTAATTCCGCAAATGTTTACCGAGCGCCGCTCTAGGTCAGTCAGTGAACAAAACAAACACAAATCGCTCTGTTTTGGGAAGTTTGCATTTTGGAGAGAGATAGGCTGTAAGTCAAATGCCTGGTAAGTCAGAAGGTGAAAATTCCATGGAGAATAATAAAGGAAAGAGAGATGAGGAGTGTGGGTGAGGGTAGGAAACTGAAATTTTACAGTAAGGTGGTCAGGCAAGGGCCTGGCTGAGAATGTAATTTTTTTGAATTAGTGTTTATTGGAGTATAGGTGCTTTGCAATGTTGTGTTAGTTTCTACTGTAAGGCAAAGTGAACCAGCTGTATGTATACATAGATCCTCTCTTTTTTGGACTTCCTTCCCGTTCAGGTCACCACAGGGCACTGAGTCGTTTTGTGCTGTATGGTAGGTTCTCATTAGTTATCTATTTTATACATAGTATCAGTAGTGTATTTGTGTTAATCCCAGTCTCCCAATTAATCCCCCCTTCTCCCCATCTTACTGTCCATAGGTTTGTTCTCTGTGTTATGTTTCTGTTTTGCAAATAAGATCATCTATGCCATTTTTCTAGATTCTGCATAGATGCATAAAATATATGATATTTGTTTTTCTCTTTCTGACTTACTTCACTCCTTGTTAGTGTTAGTTGCTCAGTCGTGTCCGACTCTTTGCGACCCCATGGACTGTGGCCCGCCAGGCCCCTCTGTCCGTGGGATTCTCCAGGCAAGAATTCTGGAGTGGGTAGCCATTCCCTTCTCCAGGGGATCTTCCTCACCCAGGGATCAAACCCGGTCTCCTGCATTGCAGGATGATTCTTTATCCTCTTTGCCACCTGGGTAATTTTTGAGTAAAGAGCTGAAGGAAGTGAGAGAGCTAGTTTTGTGGCTCTCTGAGGTAAAAGAAAGTGCAAAGGCCCTGAGGGAGCCTGCTTGGTGTATTTGAAGAGCAGGGCTTTCCTGGAGGCTCAGACGGTAAAGCGTCTGCCTGCAATGTGGGAGACTTGGGTTTGATCCCTGGGTCGGAAAGATCCCCTGGAGAAGGAAATGGCAACCCACTCCAGTATTCTTGCCTGGAAAATCCCATGGGCTGAGGAGTCTGGTAGGCTACAGTCCATGGGGTCACAGAGAATCGGACATGACTAAGTGACTTCACTTTTTCACTACAAGGCCAGTAAGTTAGCAGAGAGTGAGATGGAGAAGAATTGTAGGAGATAAAGTTGGACAGAAAAGAGTGTGGGACAGATTGTATAGGACCTGGTAGGCAATTTTGAAAATTTGGGTTTTCATTCTGAGGGAGATGGGAGGTTACTGGAGAGTTTTGTCAGGGAAACACCATGAGCCGAATGATCTTAAAAAAACTGTGGTAAAATATATATAACAAAGTTTACCAGTTTAGCTATTTTTCACATGTATGATTCTGTGGCATTAATTACACTATTACACAACCATCACTGTTATTTCTAAAAACTTCTTCATCAATCCAAACAAGCTCTGTAACTGGTTAATTAAGCAACAACTTCCCATTACCCTTCTGTCCAGCCCCAGGTAACCTCTGATATGCTCGCTCTCTATGAATTTGCTTATTCTAGATACTATATACAAGTGGAATCATATTTGTTTTTTTGCATCTGACTTATTTGAATTGTCATAATGTTCTTAAGATTTATCCACGTCGTATCATGTATTAGAACTTAATTTCTTTTTATGGCTGAATATGTTTCTGTTGTGTGTACATACTATATTTTGTTTATCCATTCATCTGTTGACAGACAGTTGGGTTTCCCCCCTTTTGGTTGTTGTGAATAATGGTGCACTGAACATTGGCTTCCAAGGATCTACTTGAGTCCCTGTTTCCAGTTCCTCTTTCTTTTGGGTCTGTACCTAGGAGTGGACTTGCTGGATCGTATGATAATTATGTGTTTAGCTTTTTGAGGAACTGTTTTCCACAGTGGTGGAACCATTTTACCTATGCATTTTTTTGGGGGGGGGGGACGGGGCTATGCTGGGTGACTCGGGAGATCTTAGTTCCCTGACCAGGGATTGAATCCGGGCCACAGCAGTTAAAGTGATGAGTCCTAATCACTGGACTGCCAGGGAACTCTCAATTCCATATGAATTTGAGGATTAGCTTTTCCATTTCTGCAAAAAAAAAGGCCTTTGGAATTTTGATAGAGATTGTGTTGAATCTGTAGGTAGCTTGGGGTTGTATGACCTCTTAACAGTATTAAGTCTTTCCATGAACACAGGTGGTGTTCCATTTGTGGTGGTGGAACTTGTCTTCTTTGTGAATGAAGTGTCTTCTTTAATTGGCAGCAATGAAGGAGTCTTTTGGGTTTAGAAAAGAGAACAACAGTCTCAAAGGCCCCTTGCTGAATCATCTAACTTTGGAGAAAACAAAACAGAACTTTAGTTCAGCCCTGATGCTCCAGGCCAGTTGCATCTATCTGGGACTTATCACCCCCTGTCCGGAAACCTACCACCCCCTACAGCCGTCTAGAAGACTTATCACCCACTGCCCAACTACAAATGTCATCTCAGCAAAAGAATACTCAAAATACCCTGCCTGATTGACATTTCTCTTATTGCTTCCACAAACCTCCTTATAAGTATGACGCCTCCCTGATCACTCAGCACTCAGCCTGGTCCTTAGGCCGACTGTCGCCCCTCCTTGCCTAAATAAAGGTAACCTACTTCTGTTGAGGTCATCTTTCCTTTTCTGCCTCACCTGATCTATGCCTTACAAGCAATGTTTTGTAGGTTTTGATGTACAGGTTTTTAATTTCACCTCCTGGGTATTTTATTTTTTTAGATGCTATTGTAAACAAGATTGCTTTTTAAATTTCTTCTCCGATTGCTCATTGCGGTTGTCTAGAAACACAGCTGATTTTTGTGTCTTGATCATGTACCCTGTAACTTTACTGAATTTGTTTATTAGATCTAGTAGATTTCTTGTGGTTTCTTTGGGATTTTTTTTTATAGACACAGTCACGTCATATGTGAATAGAGTTTTACTTCTTTCCAATTTATTGCCTTTTACTTCTTATTTATACCTAATTTCTCTGGGGCTAGAAATTTCAGTACTCTGTTCAATAGCTTTGGTGGAAGGAGTATCTTTGTCTTGATCTTGATTTTAGGGGAAAAGATCTTCAGTCTTTTACCGTTGAGTATGATGTTAACTGCGTTTCTCATAAGTGCCCTTTATTGTCTGGAGGAAATTCCCTTCTATCCCTAGTTTTCTGAGTTTATATCATGAAAGAGTATTTGATTTTGTCAAATGCCCATGTCAGTTGAGGTGGTCTGTTGTATTTCCTTCATTCTGTAAAAGTTACATATTACATTGATTGATTCTCTTACATTGAGCCACCTTTACATTCCTGGGATAAATCTCACTTGGTTCAGTTCAGTTCAGTTCAGTTCAGTTGCTCAGTCGTGTCTGACTCTTTGCGACCCCATGAATCGCAGCACACCAGGCCTCCCTGTCCATCACCAACTCCAGGCATTTACTCAGACTCATGTCTATCTAGTCGATGATGCCATCCAGCCATCTCATCCTCTGTCGCCCCCTTCTGCTCCTGCCCCCAATCCCTCCCAGCATCAGGGTCTTTTCAAATGAGTCAACTCTTTGCATGAGGTGGCCAAAGTACTGGAGTTTCAGCTTCAACATCAGTCCTTCCAATGAACACCCCGGACTGATCTCCTTTAGGATGGACTGGTTGGATCTCCTTGCAGTCCAAGGGACTCTCAAGAGTCTTCTCCAACATCACAGTTCAAAAGCATCAATTTTTCGGTGCTCAGCTTTCTTCACAGTCCAACTCTCACATCCATACATGACCACTGGAAAAACCATAGCCTTGACTAGATGGACCTTTGTTGGCAAAGTAATGTCTCTGCTTTTTAATATGCTGTCTAGGTTGGTCATAACTTTCCTCCCAAGGAGTAAGTGTCTTTTAATTTCACAGCTGCAATCACCATTTGCAGTGATTTTGGAGCCCCAAAAATAAAGTCTGACACTGTTTCCACTGTTTCCCCATCTATTTGCCATGAAGTGATGGGACCAACTGAGATGCCATGATCTTAGTTTTCTGAATGTTGAGCTTTAGGCCAACTTTTTCACTCTCCTCTTTCACTTTCATCAAGAGGCTTTTTAGTTCCTCTTCACTTTCTGCCATAAGGGTGGTGTCATCTGCATATCTGAGGTTATTGATATTTCTCCTGGCAATCTTGATTCTGGCTTGTGCTTCTTCCAGCCCAGCGTTTCTCATGATGTACTCTGCATATAAGTTAAATAAGCAGGGTGACACTATACAGCCTTGGTGATGGTATATAATTCTTTAAATTGAAACATTTTTTAACAGAATCACTCTGACTTCTCTTTTGAGAAGACGGTGGAGGCGGCGGAAATAAGAGGTCATGTGCTTTGAATCAGGGTTTTTCTGTGCATGTGATCAAAGATGAGAAACGCCTCCTTTACGTCAAGTTTCTGTATTTACATAGCTCTGTTTCTGAACATGATA